CAAAAGGAAACAATCCACATGTCCGTCAGTGACAGAGCGGGTTATAAAATTCATAGCTGGAATTGAATAAGCAAACAAAGGGATGAATTATATAGTTACATGTAACAACTTGTGGGAATCTTAGAATTACAAAAAGCAAGTCATAGATGGATACATTCATAAAATTTACATTGATAGCTAAGCAATAATTGTCATAGGATATGAGTATATAATAGTAAGGTTACAAAGAAATGTAAGGGAACATTGTCGACATGTATTGAACTATCACACTGTACCCCATAAATTTGCACAATTAAAAAATGTAAAGGGAGGTATGCGTGGGAGGGAGAGGGAAAAGGAGGGTGAATATGGTTGAGGTACTTTCTATACATGTGTGAATATTGAACACTGAAACCTGTTGAAGTCATTTTAAGGAGGGGAATGGGAGAAAAGGAAGAATAATGGAGGGAATGAACCAAGCTGGGGTACTTTGTAGGTATATATGCACATGTTACAACAAAACCCCCTGTACAACTATTATAAACTGACGAAAATGTTTTAAGAAATAAATGTTTAAAAAACAAATAAAAAATATGAAGGAGGAAAAGTATGGGAACAATACACTAGAAATCCAGAATCATGAGTTTTAAGGGGGAGAAAGAAGTTGGGAGGGAGGTGTGCATTGGCAACTTCAAAGGAAGTATTACATTATTTTACTTAAACTGATCATTGGATCCATGAATATTCATTGTTCTACATATATTGCACCTATACTGTAGTTTCTTGATATCTATCTGACATGTAATTAAAACTCAAAAAGAATAAAATGGGAATGGAAGCCTAAGAATGAACAATAAATATCAGTTACTGCCCTTAGGGTTGGAACCGGTGACTCCATTGAGAGATGGTAAGAGATACAGCCTTTGAAAGTGGGGAGGGCACTTGGTCAGGGAATTCTAGAGCGCACTGGATTTGAAATGGTGGGGGGGCAGGGAGGACTGTGAGGAAACAAATTTTAATTGGAGAATGACACTAACAGAGACTGTGAGGAATAGAGTCTCACCTTGTGTCTGGGATTTATGAGTTAGCATCAGCTACTGCAAGTCTTTGATGAGACAGACAGTTTGAACCATTAGTTTAACCAACTCTAGACTGCCAAGAAATTTAACCCAGATTCTCATTCAATTTACACAGAAAATTAGGAAATTGGTTTTGATTTTTTTTTTTAAAACAAGGTAGATTTTAGGAAATTGTATAGGTGAAAATAAAATGAATATAGTGTATGTTTTTCAATCGAGGTGTCTAGCCTGAGGACCACACCTTATTAAAACAGGAAACTGGACACCAAAGCTGTCTCTTCCCTCTGTTTCTCTCGCTCTTGTGCCCTAAGATCTCTAGTTCCCTGCTGCTGAATGTGTTTACCAAACTTGACTGTGCCAGAAAGTGCAATAAGAGTGTTCCGGGTCATGAATGGGTTACCTACCGGCCTCAGGAAGAAAGAAGAGGAGAAGGAAGAGGCCATGGTTACAGGGGTGGTGACCACTGCTGCTCTCCGGCTACAGTTACCTGCTCCATCAGCCATGGTGACACCTGATGAACTATTAGACTGGCCTCATGGCTAGAAGTGCAACATCTAAGGTCAAGGTGAGTCAGGCTTGCCATCTGGTCCTGGCTCTGGGTTCCTGAGCTGCTGGCTTCAGGATGGTACTTCCAGGAACTTTTTCTTTGCATTTCAGTACCCCAAATGAGAGAAGAGCACTCATCTACACTTGCTCTACATCTCCCCCAGTTCAGAGCCACCAGGATGCCAGCAACATTCATAGAGCAAGAAAAAAGGATTCTGTAAACTTTGAAAAGCCTTAAATTTGTGGTGTACTCTCTGGGAGGCAGACACCATCCACCTAAACTCTAGGTAAATAATTTGAACCAGGGAGGTGAAGAAGCAAATGGAGGCTGGGTGACTTCCCAAAGCCTGAGACAATCAGGTTAAGAGCTCAGGGTCCTGAGTTAGCCCTAAAACACATGACCACTTTTCTTTCCATTCAAGAGTACCAGGTCTCTGGAGAAAAACCCAACAAAAGTAACTTTTTTGGGAGAAAAATGGATCACATGAAGAAGAGAAATAGACTGTACTGGGCAAGGCATGGAAATGCTGTTTATAAATAGAGCCAGAATGTCTGCAGGGAGGAGAGCATGAAAAGGGAAGAAAATCCACGGTAGGTGTGGTGCATATATGAAAATGGCAAAAAACATACTCTGATATAGAACTGCAGGGTTATGCAGCCCTGCATACCTCTCTCTCCCTCTCTGTCTCTCTCTCTCTCTCTCTGGTACTGAGGATTGCACCCAGGGCCTCACACATGCTAGGTAAGCACTCTCCTTTGAGCCACACCTCCAGCCCTTTGTGTTTGTATTTTGTTTATAAGATAGGGTTTTGCTAACTTTGCCCAGGTTGGCCTGGAAATTTCCATCCTCCTGACTCCACCTCCCCAGGAGCTGGAATCACAGGCATGTGCCACCATGCCCAGCTAGAACTGAATATATGGGGATTGAGATTCATTTTTTCACCCAAATATTTTCAAATCTGTAGTTATAATCCCCACAGTCAGAATATTTCATTTATCTTGCATAAAACATAAAGATTTTGAAGTGAGAGAGAGGCCACAAAGGAGCAGTCCGTCTCAGGAGAAAAGGGAGAAGGGCTCTGAAAGCAGAAGAGCAGAAAAAGATGTAGAAGTGAAAATTTATGGTCTCACTATCTCAGGTCATTGATAGTGTTCAAATTAGGTGCATGCACTTTGCAGGCAGGGCTCCTAGGTTGAAATTTCAGCTCTGCTACTTGCTAGCTGAGTAGCTTTTAGGCAAATCATGTCTGTTTCCTCATCTGCAAAAAGACATAACAATAGGACCAATCTCAAAAAGCTTTATGCAGATCAATTGAATTGATAACATATGTAATTGCATAATGTGTAGTAAGGACTTCATAAGCATCAGTTATTGCTTTTGATAAAATTTTCAAAAAATAAAACATTTTGACTTACTGGAGGTGTGGCTCAAGTGGTATAGTGCCTACCTAGCAAGTGTGAAGACTTGAGTTCAAACCCTAGAAGCATCAAAATAAAAACAAAATTAAAAAAAATTTAGCCAGGCTGGGCATGGTGGCTCAAGCTAGTTACTCAGAAAGCAGAGATTAGGAAGATCATGGTTTTGAGGCCATTGGAGTGATGGGAGAGAGGTTTAAGGGTGTGTGGAGGTGGAGCAAGACCTCATCTCAAACAATAAAAAAGTGGGTGTGGTGACACACACCTGTCATCTCAGCTATGTGGGAAGCATCAATAGGAGGATTGCAGTCCAGGCTGGTGTACCCTTTCCCAAAAAACTAAAGCAGAGAGGGTTGGAGATATAGCTCAAGTGGTAGAGCTTAGCAAGCACAAGGCTCTGAGTTCAAACCTCAGTACTGCAAAATATATATTTCTTAAAAAGTCACCCAATTTCTCCTTACTTTATCCTAGCTGGATTTGTTTTTCTTTTTGACTTTATCACTGTTTATGTTAAGAAAGAAAATTATTTGACTATGTAACATCTCAGGTTCTTGAAATTTTTGTTTACCAGTATAAAGTTATTTAATAATGATCTTATCCCCTAATTAGCCAGATTCATATTTGATTAATGAATAGAAGTTGTGTTAGAGAATTGAAATATTATTACCAGTTAGACATTTTCAGGGAGAAAGATAGGAGTTTTATTTCCTTAAAACAGAAAAAAATATTTAAGCCTTGCCAACTTGGTTTAATCAGCTGTTTGCCTCCAGGCACTCAGTTGGCCTCTGTCTGAGGTATCAGAAAAGTGAGGGCTGAAGTGGCTGAGAGGAGAGAAGAGAGTCCCCCAATTACAGATCAGATAGCAATGCCCCCAGCCCCTTATCTTCTCCTTCTCTCTGAGACACACACAAAGCTCTTTATTTATTTTATACTTAAAGTGTCAAAGGCACCGGGGCATGGGCTTCTGTCTGGGGACTGGCAGACCACACTCCTGGGCTGACATAATAAAATCCACCATGTGGCTGTGTGGTACACACAGCGTGTGCATGTCACCAGCAAACTTTGGGTCTTGGCAGGGAGCCTCTACTGGCTTGGGAATATGGACTTGCAGGTCCTGAGGAGCTGGTGACTGACTGTAAGGGACCCTGTATGGTATATTATAAACAGGAGTATATAATTCAACTTGCTAGCAGAAGCAAGGAATTACAGCAGGATTTACTACTCCTGAATGACCATAGGAGAAGAACCCAGAAAAGTAGCTACAGAGAAAAGAGCGCATTGAAACTGTGGTACAGATAAAGACAGGGCCATTATTGTGGCTCATCTTAGAAGCCAAGGATTTGCTTAGAAATTCAGGCCTCCCCTGCTCTCTCCACACCCTGCTGCTCTGGGGCCCTCAGGTCACTATGCTGCTTGGGAAAGTGAGTCCAGTTTTAGAAGTTCAGGCCACCCAGTCATGGGGCAGCAGAGTCAGCCACCTGATTTGGGGGATTATTTTATCATTTCTGAGCCACTCAACCTACTCTCCTCCAGTGGTAGGACTATCATTTTCTCCTTTGTCTAGTAAGGGAATGGCAGTATTAATTCTATTCTTTGCTTTTAGCTAATGAAGGAATATTTGCCAATATGGAGCTAACAGTGATACAGAAAAATTTTTAAATGAATAAATCAAAATAGTCATATGAAACATATTAGCTTTTACATAATCTGTTAGTGGTGGAGATGATTGGTTCCTACTCTTTTTTTTAATGCTTTGCTTTAATAACTAACTTAGAAGTTAAGCTATAAAATAAGCTGTATTTTTTGATTACTGAGTAATCATTTCAAATTGTACTTAGTATTTTTAAGGTTACCCACAAAATAGAATAAACAGTCCCAACCCCTAAAGACAAAGTTACTTGGGAAATAAACACAAGTGTATAATTCATCTTGTGAAAAATTCTAGAGCAACTGTCTGACCCACAGGACAAATTTACTTACATTTAGACAAGTTGGAGAATTCATTCCATCATTCTGCTACTGTACTATTCAGAAGAAAAGCCATTGATACTTAGATCCTGGCAAAGAAAATAGAAGAACTGAGTTTATTAACCTACAATGTCAGCAGCAAAGAATATGGTCTCTCCAAAGATAAAGAGTGTGAACAGTTCAGCGATTTGTCCAAGTTGAAATCACAACTCACCAGAATTACATGCCAGGAGTTAGACATAAGCTTTCAAGCATCCAGTCCACTGTGGTTTGACATGAGGTCACTCTGTGTCCTGAGTTTTGTGGGGGAAGAATCTAATAAGCATGCTGTTTAGGAAGTATTGTCTTGGTAGATTACTGACCCTGTGATGGAAGTATATGTTCCAGTCTATTTAAAGAAATAATTCTTATGCTTGATTCTAAATTTTAAAGCACTGAAATAAGTGCTGTATTTTTTCCTGGGGAAAAAGCATTCTAATTTTGACCTTATTCAAACATCAATATGATTCCAGAGGGACAAATGAAGGGGGAGCAAAGACTGATGGGGTCTAGTGGTGATTGCATTTATAGAATAATCCTGACAGGAGACAAATATACGGCCTCCCATGAGGCCTCGATATAGTCAGCTGAGAAGTGGGGTCGTTATTTATGCACACAGAGGATATTCTCCATTATAACACTTTAATAACTTTAAGTGAAATATTCTTTTTTATTGGTAGGAAGCTTAGTAAGTAGTATCTAGTTGCTTTTTTTTCCATGATGGCTATGTGTGCAACCCTTCCTATTCTTTCATCTGCTTCCCCCAGCGGATAATGGGAAAATAGTGTTCCACTTCTACCTCACATGAGGAACGAATGGACCAGATGAGTGGCTGGCAGTTTCATTTCCATCTGTTTTATATGGTGACCATTCACATAAAATTTCACTTGAAGCTAATAAGTTGGGAAATACTTATCTGAATGAATTCAGTGACAGTGGGTAAGGAGTATAATAATGATATCTTTTATTTCTCAATAGATGACAAATTCTCATTCTAGAAGACACAAACATATATCATAAAACACGACAACCATTTAAATCTACTATGAACTTTGTGACTACAGAGTCTTCGTGAAGTCTGTGTGTCATGGAAGCAAGATAACCAATTTTCTCACGTTAGAGAGCCAAATAATAAGCACCATTTTCAAAGACAGACACCTGTTTTCTGACTGGTAATAGCAAATCATACCACATGACATTAAGGAATTAGTATTCATTCTTGAGGCAAGGCAATAGTATTGTGACTTTGCTTAAAAGAAGTTTGTGTCTTTTAGGATTATACTCTGAATTATTTATGGGTGAAATTATATCAAGTCTGAGATTTGCTTTAAAATAATTTGAGGCCTACTGGTAGGGAGAAAGTGAAGGTACCAATTTTATAAGATTGGCTTTGCATTAAATATAATGCATATAAGAGGATTCTTACACTGCCTCTACTTTTGTATACATTTGAAATTTGGGGTAATAAAAAACTTTTAAAGGTTCTGAGGACTGTGAGCATAAAGCAGTGGCCTCTGACAAGCAGCAAGAGACCATTCTGAAATTATTTTAAGTCTGACTACTCCCTGGGTTCTGAGCCAAAAAAAATTGGGTGCTAGCATCCCTACTACTCTCAGAAGCAAGGCTACTGCTTCATCCAATTCTGTACTGAAGCCCAGAGGATGCACATTTGGAGTATGCTCCATGTGTCACCAACAACACAATGTATTTTTAATCAGGGCCCCACTCCAACTGCAGCCGCATCCTTTTAGCCTACTCTGTTTTGTTGTCTTGTTCGCAGGTGCTTAGAAACCACAATTGAATTTTCACATTATCTTAAGCAAAGTACAAACAAAAAGTTAAATGTGGTGCAAAAATAATCATACCATATACTTCAAAGTCATTAACACGGGTAAATGAGCACTGTCTGTAAAACCCCGAGAAGCACAAACCCTATTAACACTGTCTTGGGAAATCAGAGGCTAAGACTGTGAATGGGCAGAGCAGCAGGCCTCTCTGACCACAGCTTGGGCACTTCTATTATTCTGCTTTACACAGAACTAAAAAGTCCAACAACCAAAAACAAAAATTCAAAACTGTGGAAAAGAAAATCTCTAACTTCAGCTCTCTTTAAATTTCTTTTTAAATATGAAAAAGTAATATAGTGATTGGAAGGCTTAGAGTTTTTGAACTCAGTTAGTTAATATTTTTAATCTACAATTTGCTGTCACAGGTTTCACCAAAAGGTAGGGTGAAGAGGGACAACTGCCACTGAATAAATACTTTATCTATTTTCAGTATTGTCTGGGGACCTCAGATGCAAAATCTTATGATGTAGGCTTTATTCCCACTTTAGGGATGAGAAAGTTGAGGGTCATGGGGGTTAAGTAAGTTGTCCAAGGTCACACACTTTAAAAAGGGTGTACTCAGAGTCTCCAAAAGACTTTGACCCTCTATGGGTGTTTTCAAAACCATTTGCCTTCCAGCCTACTGGCACAGGCCTGAATATTTCAAAATATCTCAATATGTAGAAAGAAAGGATTAATGGAAGTCCTTTGAAATGCTTTTAGACTTCCAATAAGATAATTCTATATAGATACTCTTCCACTTTACTGACAAATCAATTTCTACCTAGCCTGGGCTTGATAAAGTTAATCAAATTCCGTAATTTCCTTTCTCTGGTACAGAGAGATAGCTGGGAAGTCAGAAGACTAATTCAACCAGTCATTCCTACTGTTCTCACATTGGAAGATAATTGCTTACAACTGAATTCTCCCTAGATCTCCAAGTAGCAATAATTCAGGCCAGAACATGCTCTGTTGTCACACTCTAGCTTCTCCAAGTGCAAGGGAGTTCTGTCTCCTAACAGATAATTAAAGACAGGGCAGTGCCACTTGCTAGGATTTCTCTCTTTCTCTTTCACCTCTTATAAAAGAAGAAACTTTAAAGATTAGATTTTTTTCCCTCCTTTTTTTCTAAAGCTGGTTATACCAACTGGCATGGGTTGTATTAAAATCAGGGGAAAGCTCAATCAAAAAGCCCCTCTCGGAAGGCAGACTTTCTTGTTAATATGCACAAACATGAAAGGCTTTCTTTTCATCCTATACAACTACAGTGTGTGTAAATTGCAGGGGGCTCATTGGCATAAATCTTGCCTGCGACCTCTGAGGTAAACTGGATTTACATTACTTTCTGACAAGAATTAAATGAAGGCCTTGTGGATATATGAACAGCCTTCTGGGCGGCAACAGATGGGCATGAATGTGTTCCCTAGGAAAACTATCAGTGACATCTGTGTCCTCCAAATTCTGGTGGCCTCAGCCAATTAACAGGGGGAGAAAGGTGGGGGGTTGGGAGGCCACAGCACAGCCCCCAGCCAAAACCCAGGCAGCAGTGTTTGTGTTTGGAGATGGGATCAGGCTGGCCTGCAGCCTCATGGCCTCAAAGGTTAGCCAGCCCTTCATTGTCATCTTTCTAATGGGAAATGTGGCTTACAAGCTATTTGTACACCACAGTGAGGATAATATGATTTTTCTCATTTGACCGGAGGAGAGGGCCCTCTCTTGCAGCTGATATCATATTTCAGAGCAATCTCTTGGAAGCAAGTGTTTACTTTTGTCTCCTTCCAGGCAGGCTGATGGTTTGGCTACCTATCAATTTCTGTAGTGTATTTGCACGTCACAAAGCAGGTGAACCCCAAGACATAGCAGAGGTTTCTCCTTAAAACTGACTTCTTTCCTCTTCCAAAGTGGAGTTTACCTATTTCATGAGAAAATCAAAATTAAGGTCTCCTGGTTAAAATAAAGTCAAGAGAAATTACATCAGGTATCTTTCTAGAGTCACTGATGGTGGGATTTCTTGAAAAGACGCAATCCATGATGACACCTACTGTCTCAGTAGGTCAACCTCCCTGTGTTTAGGGTGCAGACAAAAAGAACAAACTAAGGCAGAGAATGTCGATTCCTTTTTGGCATCTAACTTTCTTGGCCCATTCACCTGGAGCATGTATGACAAGCCCCCAGGTTTGGGGAGGTGACGGGATAGGCCAGGAAGACACTAACATTCACTTGCTCAGTAAGAGCAGAAACCAGGACAGGCCTAATTAGGCAGTGCAGATCTCATGTCTTTCAGGGCCTAGCATTAAGAATGTGGCTTTGAACCAAAGAACCCAGGCCTAAATTCTGACTTTACCACTACAGAATCTGAGACAAATGGGCAACTTTCTTAAGTTCCTTGTGCTTTAATCTCCTCGTCTGTAAACCTGAGTTGAGCTTATCACCTGTCTCTTAATGAGGAAGAATTGACCTAACATTTGGGATGTGTGGCTGACATTGCTGGGGGAAAATATTTTTATCCTGATTTTGTAATAAGGAGTATTGAAGGCCCGAGAATGGAGTCCTGAAGCTCTACGCTAGTTTTTCAAAATGAAAAGTACTGTGTTTTAGTACACTAGTTTTTGGAAACTCACAAAATTAATTTTTTTCAAAAGAAGCAATTTTCAGTGCTTTTAGGAAACTAAGATCATGCTTCTAAGCATCATGTATTTCCATACTTGGAGTGCAGCTCAGTGGTAGAGCACTTCCCTAGCATGTGTGAGGCCCTGGGTTTGATTTCCAGCACCAGAAAAATATAACATATTTTTTTTAATGGATACAATTTTGAAATACAATTCGTTAAAATGAACTTACTATACACCAAAAGTGTCTGGATATTTCTAAATTGTGAAATAGACTGTTAAGAAGCAACTAAAAAATAAACAGAAATTAAGTAGTTTTAAAATTTTTTTTTACTTTGAGACAAGGTTTTATAGCTCAAGCTGGCTTGTAACTTGCTATGTAGCCCAAGCTACTCTCAAACTCATGATCCTCTTGCTTCCTGAGTGCTGGTATTACAGGTGTGCAACACCATACCTGACACTAAACTGTTTGTTTTAACTCCTTTTCCTTAATTGCAGGAATGGTAATGGGTTGCTTGTTTGGTCCTAAATTGATTACTGTATGTGAAGTGTTAGAACATAATGTTTGATTGTGATACTTTAGATGTAAATGGTTTACCCCTTTTTTCCTAAAAC